CTACCATAATATCCAAGCATTTGTCCACTTCCATACAGATCAAATTCTTCTACATCAAAATCGAAGGCACAACCCATTTTCTAACCAAACTTCAAGGGACACTCAACAGTATCGAATTCATCTTTCACGATAGCGTGACAATACCCACATTCATACGAGGATCGCTATACAACAATTCCCAAAACCAGGCATCGTGCGATCCAAGAGCTGACGTCAAATGATCTCAAAGAGGCGCTGACTAAACTAGATCTAGATCTACATGAAGAGATGAGATGGATTTAGCTTACTGATCGCAGCAACGGGCGAGGGCGCTGACCTCCTCAACGCGGTCAAGGGCCTGCTGAGCGGGGAGCGAGGCGAGGAGGAAGTGGCGGGCCTGCTCCAAGTTCTTTTACAATTGGTAGCAGTTTTTGAAATATTCAAGAAACTAAAATTTCTTCCATGTTACGGGCCAGGGATTGAAGGGAATTTTCATAAACTTTCGTTTAGATTTTTTATGAAATAAGAAACATCTTTTAAGAATACATGCAATGAAACTATCTGATATATAGAAACGCAAAAGGATGCTTATATGAGAGAAGTTAATGTGACCATGCTCCTGTTGAACCCTCTTTACATTGGTAGCTTCAGATATATATATCCTTTCTTCAATTTCAATTTTAAAGTGCCCCCCCCCCCCCCCCCCCTTCTCCCTTCCTCTCTCCCTCCCTTCCATCAGTTTACCATCTCCTTACTCCCCAAGAAAAAAAAGAAGAGATCTAATAACATTAGTGACTTACTGAAGTCTCAGAGAGATTGGCCACAGACTTTTTAGGTTGTCTTTCAGGTTCAATGACATAATATTACAGGTTAGGACTTTCAAATGTTCTGGATCATACTTCACAATAGGTTTTCTTCTATCTTTGAATGTAAATTATTTATCGCTTGAAAAATCAAGAAAGTGGAAAATTCTTCCATCTGAGTGAATAACTTAATTTACTAAAGTTTCTTTTGCTTCCCCCGTTCAATATTCTCTTACAATAGGTTTCTTGAAAATTCAAGAAACTGAAAAAAATATCCATGTTACGGGCCAAGGATTAAAGTGAATTTTCAGAAAACTTTGACATAAGGAACATCTTTTAAAACCTGGACATGTAATGTAACAATTTGATATGAATAAAAATGCAAAAAGGTACTGATATTAGAAAACAGAATGCAAATTTGCTTTTGTTAAACAGCGACAAATATATTTCTATTGGGCATTATTTCCCCCTCTTAAAATGATATCAAGAATGCCTTAGTATTGGATTTTGTTGTTGTTTCTTCCCCTTTAAATGTTGGGTCGCTTGCAAAGATGCCTTGTTTTATATCTCTCTACATTTCTTGAGGGCAATGGTCATGTGGAGGATTATGTTTCCAAACTCATGGTGGTGAAGGGCATCGCTTTCACCATCTCAGGTCATGGTTATATTGCAGTTTTTGATACAGGTAATTCATTTATATGTTCGCATATGTTTATCTTAGCATGAGCTTATGGTATGTATCTCTATTGTGTTAACACTGAAAAAATCTAGGTTATGTTTCCCAAATAATTCCCAAAACGAGAAGATTCGAAAAATATTTTACAACATTAACGATGAATCATTTGCTTGTTGTAGCAGAGTATACTTCCAACACAAGATGTTGGTCCTTGCCGATGATGTAAGACATATTTACACACTTTGGAATTTCCAATTCTTTTTAATTGTCTATTGTGTTTTGTTTACTAGAAAATCATATTATACATTTAACTCCACATTATGTAGATAATGTAACATATTTTGCTTTTTTGTTTAGTGTGATTTTGTTAACAAAGTTTCTTTAAAATGGCTTTCTGTTCATTTTATAGTAGGGATTATTTTAATGAGCTATTGATTCAAAAATGGGAGAAGGCATATGAATATAATAATTACTGGTTGGAATACATGCTATAACATTCTAGCGCTAGCACAGAATAATTACTAATTTCTTGAACTGTTACTAGATTATTACATCTTCCTTGCCTTGTATGAAATGTGAATGTAGTGTAGGAAAATGTTGTTTACAAAACCGAATGTCCACTTCTTTGAGTTCAAATAAATGGTGGCCCAAAAGGATTTTTATATCAATGAAGTTGGCATTTGCATAAGTCCCACACTTGATAATTGATTTTTAATATGTATTTGTTTCACATTTACAATCTATAATCATACTCTACATACAAGGTGGAGTAAAGGTTTTTGATGCTTAAGTCAAACGTATTTTATAGCCATTAAGTTGACAAACACACAATATTTGGTTATTTGGTGGCGACGCATTTTCTAAATGAGCAACAAAAATATAGAGTGATGAGACACACCCCTGCCAATGTGATAAGATATATGTATATATTCTTTACATTATGAGTATATAGTCGTACAAGGCGGAATCAGAGTTTTGGTTTCACTGTTCAATCAAGATGCTCTTCATATGAACTTTTGTGTATTTTAATCTAAATAAAAGTAGGATTATGTTGTACATTGTTTCCAACAATAGTTTAAACCACTTACAACATAGATTCACTTGTGTACTGTGTAAATCCGCATAGTTTGTATTACATATAAAAGATATTTGTGACATGATACCACAGTTTTATACTCTGTACAACTAGTATAAAATCAGTAAATATTCCCCTCGAAGCTGCACCACAGAGGTGGAACCTTGACGGTACATTCTAATTTTTTACTCAATTTCTACATTTTAGTGAGTAAATGATCCCTAGTCGTGTCTTTGTATCAGACACATAAGAAGAAACTCTCCTCAGAAAAGATTTGAAGTGTTCTCCTCAATACAGATCCAATATTCTCTGCATGTGTTCTTTGAAGCTGCCAGCAACAAAGCAGTTATATTATCAGAACTCGAGGCGTAAGCAATCTGTGATATTCAATTTACTTATGTAACATTTTTCTGCAATCACGTAATTCCAATGTTCTTAGTTCTTACATTATTGTTAAAGTCTTTGATTTGAAGTCATATGCATATGTGTGTCAGACACCTGCAACATTGGATTCAAACCTGACCATCTGGTAAATAAACCTATGTTGTCAAGAATGTTTTTAATGTTTGGTCAAAGCTAAGGTCTAGAATTTTCTTCACTTTTGTGCTCTATGACAGTTCTGGGACTCTTGTTAAAATATCTCAATCCAACACCAATCTTTCTACATGTAATAGTCTCGGGTGATAATGGGGATGAACTGGCAGAATTCACCTATGAATTACCCTTTGAAGATATAAGACTCATGATCCCTTCAACGGAGAAGGTGTTGCTCGTTGATCATCGATGTTGTCTACACATTTTGGATGTGAGCCTTTTAAACTCTCCTCTCTAATTTTTCACTGTTTCAATTTTAACTCACTGTTTCTTAATGCAGTTAAAGAGGTGTGAAGGACAATACAGACCTGAAGTATACTTGCCTTTAACGAATACAATCCTAATGTCGAAAAAGAACATGTTTTTAGGCCTAAGAGGGAGGGAAGTCCAAGCATGGGATTCAGAACGGTCTATTATGACAGGATTCGCTGACCACTTGGTCGTCGACTATAGGTACTTTTATTATGAGACATTTGTCAAGGAGGATATTTTTATCCTATCTCATTGCTGCCCGAAACACTGTTGTAATATGTGTTGATCAGGTATATAGTGAATTTTGGGGTACCAAACCCTTCTCCTCTGTTTTTATTTACTTGTTGAATTACATTCTCTCTTGAATGTCTAAATTGCATTTTCTCTCTTGCTAAATTGCATTCTTTCTAGTGGTTATCCTAAAAGTCAGACATTCAAGAGGGTACCAAACTCACAATATACTTGATCGACACATATTACAACAGTGTTTCGGGCAGCAATGGGATAGGATAAGCATATCCTCCGCGACAAATGCCTCATAATAAAAGTACCTATAGTCGACGACCAAGTGGTCAGCGAATCCCGTCAGAATGGACTGTTTTGAATCTCATGCTTGGACTTCCCTCCCTCTTAGGACAAAAAACATGTCCTTTTCCGACATTATGATTGTATCCATGAAAGGCAAGTATACTTCAGGTCTATATTGTCTTTCACACCTCTTTAACTGCATTAAGAAACAGTGAGTTAAAATTGAAACAATGAAAAATTAGAGAGAGGAGATAGTTTAAAAGGCTCACATCCAAAATGTGTAGACAAAAGCGATGATCAACGAGCAACACCTTCTCCGTTGAAGAGATCACGAGTCTTATATCTTCAAAGGATAATTCATAGGTGAATTCTGCCAGTTCATCCCCATTATCACCCGAGACTATGTTACATGTAGAAAGATTGGTGTTGGATTGAGATATTTTAACAAGAGCCACAAAACTGCCATAGAGCACAAAAGTGAAGAAAATTCTAGACCTTAGCTTTGACCAAACATTAAAAACATTCTTGACAACGTAGGTTTATTTACCAGATGGTCAAGTTTGAATCCAATGTTGCAGGTGTCTAATACACATATGCATGTGACTTCAAATCAAAGACTTTAACAATAATGCAAGAACTAAAAACATTGGAATTACGTGATTGCAGAAAAATGTTACATAAGTAAATTGAATATCACAGATTGCTTACGCCTCGGGTTCTGATAATATAACTGCTTTGTTGCTGACAGCTTCAAAGAACACATGCAGAGAATAATAGATCTGTATTGAGGAGAACACTTCAAATCTTTCCTGAGGAGAGTTTCTTCGTACGTGTCTCTTCGTATGTGTCTGATACAAAGACATGACTAGGGATCATGTACTCACTAAAATGTAGAAATTAAGTAAAAAATAGAATGTACCGTCAAGTTTTCGCCTCTGTGGTGCAGCTTCAAGGGGAATATTTACTAATTTTATACTAGTTATACAGAGTATAAAACTGTGGTATCATGTCACAAATATCTTTTATATGTAATACAAACTATGCGGATTCACACAGTACACAAGTGAATCTATGTTGTAAGTGGTTTAAACTTTTGTTGGAAACAATGTATAACATAATCCTACTTTTATTTAGATTAAAATACACAAAAGTTCATATGAAGAGCATCTTGATTGAACAGCGAAACCAAGCGAAACCAAAACTCTGATTCCACCTTGTATGACTATATACTAATAATGTAAAGAATATATACATATATCTAATCGTATTGGCAGGGGTGTGTCTCATCACTCTATATTTTAGTTGCTCATTTAGAAAATGAGTCGCCACCAAATAACCAAATATTGTGTGTTTGTCAACTTAATGGCTATAAAATACGTTTGACTTAAGCATCAAAAGCCTTTACTCCACCTTGTATGTAGAGTATGATTATAGATTGTAAATGTGAAACAAATACATATTAAAAATCAATTATCAAGTGTAGGACTTATGCAAATGCCAACTTCATTGATATAAAAATCCTTTTGGGCCACCATTTATTTGAACTCAAAGAAGTGGACATTCAGTTTTGTAAACAACATTTCCCCTACACTACATTCACATTTCATACAAGGCAAGGAAGATGTAATAATCTAGTAACAGTTCAAGAAATTACTAATTATTTTGTGCTAGCGCTAGAATGTTATAGCATGTATGTTATTCCAACCAGTAATTATTATATTCATATGCCTTCCCCCATTTTTGAATCAACAACTCATTAAAATAATCTTTACTATAAAATGAACAAAAAGCCATTTTAAAGAAACTTTGTTAACAAAATCACAACAAACAAAAAAGCAAAATATGTTGCATTATCTACATAATGTGGAGTTATATCTATAATATGATTTTCTAGTAAACAAAACACAATAGATAATTAAAGAGAATTGAAATTCCAAAGTGTGTAAATATGTCTTACATCATTGGCAAGGACCAACATTTTGTGTTGGAAGTATACTCTGCTACAACAAGCAATGATTCGTCGTTAATGTTGTAGAATATTTTTCGAATCTTCTCGTTTTGGGAATTATTAAGGAAACAGAACCTAGATTTTTTCACTGTTAACACAATAGAGATACATACCATAAGCTTATGCTAAGATAAACAGATGTGAACATATAAACATATAAATGAATTACCTGTATCAAAAGCTGCACAATAACCATGACCTGAGATGGCAAAAGCGATGCCCTTCACCACTAGGAGTTTGGAAACATAATCCTCCACATGATCATTGTCGTCAATCACTCCAGCAAAGGGTTTAATTTCCTCCAAAGTACAAATAAGAAATGTAGAGAGATATAAAACAAGGCATCTTTGCAAGCGACCCAACATTTAAAGGGGAAGAAACAACAACAAAATCCAATACTAAGGCATTCTTGATATCATTTTAAGAGGGGGAAATAATGCCCAATAGAAATATAATTGTCGCTGTTTAACAGAAGCAAATTTGCATTCTGTTTTCTAATATCAGTACATTTTTGCATTTTTATTCATATCAAATTGTTAAATTACATGTCCAGTTTTTAAAAGATGTTCCTCATGTCATAGGTTTCTGAAAATTCACTTTAATCCTTGGCCTGTAACATGGAAAAAAAATTCAGTTTATTGAATTTTCAAGAATCCTATTGTAAGAGAATATAGAATGGGGAAAGCAAAAGAAATTTTAGTAAATTAAGTTATTCACTCAGAGGGAAGAATTTCCACTTTCTTGATTTATCAAGCGATAAATAATGCATATTTAAAGAAAGAAGAAAACCTATTATGAAGTATGATCCAGAACATTTGAAAGTCCTAACCTATAATCTTATGTCATTGAACCTGAAAGACAACCTAAAAAGTCTGTGGTCAATCTTTCGAGACTTCAGTAAGTCACTAATGTTATTAGATTTCTTCATTTTTTTTCTTTTTTTCTTGGGGAGTAAGGAGATGATAAACTGATGGGAGGAAGGGAGGGAGAGAGAGGGAGAAGGGGGGAGGGGGAGAGAGAGAGGAACTTTAAAATTAAAATTGAAGGAAGGATGTATATATAGGGTAAATTTTATTAAAACCTCTCCCTCCTTGAAAAAAAAGAAATACCCAAAAAATGCCAAATAAAAAAATATCTAAAGCTAGCAATATGAAGAGAGTTCAACAGAAGCATATTCACATTAACTTCTCTCACATCAGCATCCTTTTGCGTTTCTGTTTATATCAGATAGTTTCATTTCATGTCCTTTTAAAAGATGTTTCTTATTTCATAAAAAATCTAAATGAAAGTTTCTGAAAATTCCCTTCAATGCATGGAAGAAATTTTCAGTTTCTTGAATATTTCAAGAACTGCTACCAATTGTAAAAGAACTTGGGAGGAGGGGAACAAAAGAAAGAATTTTTCAAGAATTGCAAACAATTGTAAAAGAACTTGGAGCAGGGGAACAAAAGAAAATCCAATGAAACCTAAGTTATGAACTTTATCGATATATATTCACTTAGAATTTAAAGAAAGAAGAACAGATATCTTAAAATGGACCATACTTTGTATGAAAAGTTTTTTATAGAACCTATTATGAAGTATTATCACGAAAATTTAAAATTTCTAACCTTCAATCAAATATCTTTGAATCCGAAAGATGAACGACAAAGTCTACAACCAATCTCTCGAGACTTCAGTAATTTACTGATGTTATTAGACTTCTTCATTTTGAGGGAGATGGCAGGCAGATGGGAGGGAGGTAGGAAGGAAGAGAGTGAGGGAGGAGGGACTTTAAAATTGAAATAGAAGAGATATGGTATATATAGATTGTCAGAAAACCATCCGACTAACACCATTAGATTAAAAAAACTGTGCACGTGAAAATCAGCCATTTTTAGATAACTCTCCTAAACTTTAGAAATGACACTCAACTCCCCTTAAGATTTTCAGAAAACCATTCGACAAACACCATTAGATTAAAAAACTGTGCACGTGAAAATCATGCGCATAGACCAAAATGCCCCACATGGAAAACCCTTGTCTTCTTGCTATTTCACAATATGCAGGAAATAGTAGTGTAAAAAGAGTAATACACTATGTTTGTGGTTCTAACTTAAAGACCAGGAGAACACAAGTTTGGAATCAAAACAAAACCTAAAACAATATCTCCAACAAAAATTTACAACAAAAGACTAAGATAAAACATAAATCCAGCAGCTTCTAGGAATGCTAGTGAATTATCCCATATGACGGGGCAATGACTTAACTTTCAAAATATACACCTACTGCCTATACAGAGTCATCATGCTCATCATGTACTCATTCTCCCATAAGGGAAAAGTTATGAATCACAGATTCAAGCTAGTAAGCATCACATGAAATTTGATTCAAATTTCTTGCCTACAGGGCTACACTATTTAAGGGGATATATCAATGATATGTCGAAAAATATTTGGGTCTCATATCGGATTTCATAAACACTGTAATATGCAACATAAACACATTTAATGTATTATAAAAACATACGAAATGGCATCATTAATAATGATATATGTTGAAGATGACTAACCGATTGTACAGGCTTGCTTCTCGACGGCAACTTGAAACCTTGCAAGTGTGTAACTTTTAAGATAAGAAAATAATGTTAGTCAGATTAGAATATCAAACGAGCAAACAATACAAAGAATCAAGCATCAAAAAAATTAAGAGACCTGAAATGAAACGTAGAGAAATATATTCCTCATCTTCTCTTTATTCTTCCTTCAGCTTTCTTGATCTAAGTGGCAATTTTCCCGACCCATCAACCCGGCCCGATCCGTTTATAATGGGTATGGGTTGAATTACATGGGTCGGGTCATAAACGGGTCAACCCAAATTTACCACCCGAATAACCATGGATTTGCGCGCTTTCGTGTAGTTCTCGCGGGCGGAGACGGCGTCGGCGACCTCCTGCCAGTGGGGCTGCTTGAGGTTGTCGCGGCGGAGGTGGAGGTAGCGCTCGCCCCAGGCGTCGATGAGGGCGGAGGTGGCGCCGTCGCTCCAGCTGTCGCTAGGGTTAGAGTTTGGGTTCGGGGAGGGGTTCTGGATGGGGAGGGCTACGGTCAGGGTCAGGGTCTAGGGAGGGGGATGGGCGTTGGAGGAGGCGGCGACGGTGACGGTGGCGGAGGGCTGGGGATCGTCGGAGTTGGTGTCTGGGTTTGAGGTTTCGGCCATGGGTCTAGGGTTTTTTTTATATAAGAGAGAGAGATGATGGATTTTAGAGAGACAGAGGGTGGGATTTGGGGCAATTTGGGATCTGTTGCCGACGGGCGATTATATTTGGGTTTTTTTTAATGGTGGTGTTGCTTTATTTGTCAAATTTATTCTTCATGTTTTTTGTTTTTTTCCACATTTTACATAACATATTTTACTTATTTTTTTGACTTAATTAAAATAGTGCCCCAGAAGAAAATACTGTGGTGGAATTTACATTTTCAAATAAAGAAGGTCGGTGAACATATTATTCGACAAAAAAATGTGGTAAAAACTTGGGTTAATCAGTTGTAATAGATATTGTAAATTCTCAGGAAGAATTTAAAATATAAAAATCAATGTCACATCATCGATTAAGCAATCTTTCCTAATTTGTTTCAGTTGAAATTGTATAGTTTCTGTGTCGATTGTTTTGTCGCTGAATTTGAATAAATATCTTACACTATTTGGTATACTTCCTTTTCAGAAGAAAAGCTGCTATAAATATTTCATAATAAACATGAACATATATGTTGCGTTACTTATTGCAACAACATTTGCTAGATTTTTGAGGGGTTTATATGCAAAACAATATGAGAAAACCGAAGAAAACGAGGGAACGAATGAGAAGAAAGAAACACTAGTCGTTTTTCTTTTGAACTGTTGATTATTGTGGTTACATTGACCCATTTATTAAACTGGTTGGGTCGGGTCAGGTCACACTTATACGGATCAGGTCAACTATGACCATACGTGACCCGTTTGCCACCCCTATCTGAGGCTTTATTTCAGCTACGAGTTCGAGTTCGGGTTGATTTGAGAACCCACACCCACCCCACTAATATTAAAAAAGACCTATATGCAGCGATATCAAAGCACGGACAAATCCCTTACATAGGCCCCGCTTTGAACTTCTTTTATTCCACTTAATCCCCCAGCATAACAGCTTCAAGTCTAACTTGTGACGTAATCTGGTAATTAATTAGCCATTTTTATCATGAGTTGATTATAGGGAATCCTATTTTCCATAAGATTTGCTTTTTCCAGAGTTATTATAGCTAGATGCTCTGATCGGCTTGACGATGATCGAATATTTGTTCTCCTATTCTGACTAGAGCTACAAACTGGATTTTTATTTAATTCAAAGCGGGAGAATTTCGTTTGCACTAGGAGTCCTTCTCCTGGGGCTCATCTGGCTGGTCCTTATATACCCCATCAATCTATCGATCTATCTATCTAACTAACATGGCCGCCTCCTCTGAAATCAACAACGAATTATCCTCGTCGAACCCGTCGTCCCTCCCTCTCGACGTAGTCTCCGACATCCTCCTCCCCGTAAAGACCCTCTCGCGCCTCAAACTGGTGTCCAAATCATGGCTCTCCCTCATCTCCAGCCCCTCCTTCAAATCGTCCCACCGCCGCCGATCCGAACGGAACCCTCTCCTCGTGGCGACCTCCGAAAGCAACGGTGGGGGATACCGCCGAACCCACTTTCACGTGCTAGACTACTACAATAAGCGAGGAGGAGGAGGAGGAAAAACCCTAGTCGACCGTGAACAAACTCGACCTCGTCTGCATGTACGATCCCGACGACATCTACATCCGGAACCCTGTGACCGAGGTGCAGATCGCTCTGCCCAGGAAATCTTCGGGGTTTCCTGGGCAAGGCGGCCGCGCGGTGACATTCGCTTACCTTCCTTCTACAGGGGAATACAAGGTGCTCTGTGTGTTCGGTGTGTCTCCTTTCTTCAGTCTCCAGCACCCAATCAGAAGAAGTGAGGTCTTCACACTTGGGTCAGGGAGATGGAGGGAGATCAAGGAGGGCCCCCCTTTTGGATTCATGACGAGAGTTGGGTCGTCGTCGACGAAGCCGTCCATTTCCTGCCAGGTATTTTTACATGGCGGCTGGCTGTCGGTGACCTGCACGTCGTCGACGAAGCCGTCCATTTCCTGCCAGGTATTTTTACATGGCGGCTGGCTGTCGGTGACCTGCACAACGACAACGAGGCAATATCCCAGTTCGATCTCAAGAGGGAGGAATGGTCGGAGCTACTGCTGCCCGGCATAAGACACTTCTCACGGGACTCTCACGACGGGGAGTGGGACTTTCGCCTGACACGGCTGGGCGGATCTCTGTGCATGCAGGAAACTAATCACATGAAATCACTTTTCTATCTTCCTCGGATTAGCATATTAAATTCCAAATTAATCATATGAAATCAGTTTTCTATCTTCCTAGGAAACTAATCACATATTAAATTCCAAATTTTCTCCACCTTTTTTGTCATTTCCCTCTACATCGTTCTCTATCTTCCTCGGATTAGCATATGCATATTCAAGGAATGCTTCCCATCCGTCTCGATATCGAGTATCACCTTTCGCTCTTCTTTTCAATATAGGAATATCAATCCATGACTTATCAGGAACTTCTCTCATCTTTATAATAGGAAAACTTATTAATTAATTTAATATCTCTTAAATCGTCATAAGTTTAATAGTCTTTATTTTAGTTGATTGAACAAATAATCAAACAAATTAAATTACTCTTCTATAATGGCCATTGTTGTACCAAATAAAAAAATCAGTAGTAAAAATTTAATCATAAATTGTAATTATAGAAAACTATTAATTAAATAGTAATTATGTTTTTCATTAAAGAATAATTATGGTTGTTAATATTTAACTCCAATAATCCATTCAAAAGTTAAAATCATTCAAAAAAAGTCCAGTACCCTAACCAAACTATTTCAGTCCTAATCCGAATCCACTACTAACATGTGATTGTCATGTGAAAGATTTAGATCTTTCAAAACCTAGACTTCTTGAAGAAGACAGAGAGTAGGAATTTCTATTTAAACAAGGATATTATCAACTTTTTTTATTATCAAAAAGTAACACCGGTCGCTAAATCTTTTTGAAAAAGACAAAGTGGGAGCGTCTATTTAACCAAGAGGCATATGTAGGTAAAGGTTTTTTTTTCCAACATTAGTCATCCAAAATATTTTATGTTTTGAAACTAGTCTCCCAAATCTTCTGGTTTTGAAATTAATCCCATAAATCTTTTAAGCGTTTTGAAAGATGGATAATCCATCTAAGAATGCGAGCAAATTAATCCCATGAAACTAGTCTCCCCATCATCAGCCAGGCTGAGTTGAGGCTCATTCAGGCAAGAAAGATGGAGAATCCATCTAAGAATGCGAGCAAATTTCCGCCTCTTCTTCTGTTGCTATCAGAAGTTTCGACATGTGCAATCATAGTTGGCAATGTTGTCAACAATTGGGTAACCTTAAACTCTATTTATCTATCACATTGTGCATACCAGTGATTTTGTCGCTAAATTAGGTAATTTTCATTTTTGCAGGGATATTTTGTACTTCTTTCATGGATGCCTCTCTAAGCGGCTGAGGGTTTGGGTAATTAAAATATGAAAATACCTCTCTAAGCGGCTGGTCGAGGGCGGCGGGTTGGTTGGTCGAGGGCGGCGTGCGGCGGCGGGTCGTCGAGGGCGCCGTGCGGTCGAGGGAGGCAGGTCGTCGGGAGGGAAATCTCATAGAAATTGCTATTGCAACCCTAAAATCTAACTATTCTTATCAATTTTTCTTTTACATCCACTTATTTAGAGTTAATGATTAGATTATTTCAAAATTAGTCCCTAAAATCTTCAATATTTCAAAATTAGTCCGATTGCCTATCTTTAATATTTCAAAATTACTCAAATCATAGAAATTTCTATTGCATCCCTCAAATCATCACAATATTTACTATTAGGTCCCCTGGTTAACACCGGTTATATTTAAAGAAATATTCTTTTAAATCTAACTATTATTACTAGTTTTCCTTGACTTTTAATTATAAAAAGTTAACTCGTTTGGACCTAGTTGATAAGTTCTTGTATGATAAGTTCTGGTATGATAAGTTAACCCGTTTAAAAATTAGTCCGGTTGGCTATCTTCAATATTTTAAAATTACTCACTCAAATCATGAAAATTTCTATTACATCCCTCAAATCATCACAATATTTACTATTAGGTCCCCTGGTTAACACCGGTTATATTTAAAGAAATATTCTTTTAAATCTAACTATTATTACTAGTTTTCCTTGACTTTTAATTATAAAAAGTTAACCTGTTTGGACCTACTTGATAAGTTCTGGTATGATAAGTTAACCCGTTTCAAAATTAGTCCGATTGGCTATCTTCAATATTTCAAAATTACTCACTCAAATCAGGGGAATTTCTATTACATCCCTCAAATCATCACAATATTTACTATTAGGTCCCCTGGTTAACACCAGTTATATTTAAAGAAATATTCTTTTAAATCTAACTATTATTACTAGTTTTCATTAACTTTTAATTATAAAAAGTTAACCCGTTTGGACCTAGTTGATAAGTTCTTGTATGATAAGTTCTGGTATGATAAGTTAACCCGTTTAAAAATTAGTCCGGTTGGTTATCTTCAATATTTCAAAATTACTCACTCAAATCATGGAAATTTCTATTACATCCCTCAAATCATCACAATATTTACTATTAGGTCCACTGGTTAACACCAGTTATATTTAAAGAAATATTCTTTTAAATCTAACTATTATTACTAGTTTTCCTTGACTTTTAATTATAAAAAGTTAACCCGTTTGGACCTACTTAATAAGTTCTGGTATGATAAGTTAACCCGTTTCAAAATTAGTCCGATTGGCTATCTTCAATATTTTAAAATTACTCACTCAAATCATGGAAATTTCTATTACATCCCTCAAATCATCACAATTTTTACTATTAGGTCCCATGGTTAACACCGGTTATATTTAAAGAAATATTCTTTTAAATCTAACTATTATTACTACTTTCCATTGACTTTTAATTGTAAAAATTTAACCCGTTTGGACCTAGTTGATAAGTTCTGGTATGATAAGTTCTGGTATGATAAGTTAACCCGTTTCAAAATTAGTCCATTTGGTTATCTTTAATATTTCAAAATTACTTACTCAAATCATGGAAATTTCTATTACATCCCTCAAATCATTACAATATTTACTATTAGGTCCCCTAGTTAACACCGATTATATTTAAAGAAATATTTTTTTTAAATCTAACTATTATTACTAGTTTTCCTTGACTTTTAATTATAAAAAGTTAACACGTTTGGACCTAGTCGATAAGTTCTGGTATGATAAGTTAACCCGTTTCAAAATTAGTCCGATTGGCTATATTCAATATTTCAAAATTACTCACTCAAATCATGAAAATTTCTATTACATCCCTCAAATCATCATAATATTTATTAGGGAAAAATGCTTCCAGCCCCCAAAAACCAAGTGAACATGTTTCCCACCTCCAGGACTTGGTCAATGGGCGTTTTACCCCTAAAAATAAAGAATCTATTCTCTGAGCCCCCAAAACACAAAACCCAAGACATTAAAACATGTGAAGACCATAATACCCTTCTCTCTCTCTTTCTTTTTTTATTAAAATATGATGGGGATTATTTTATTATTTTTATTTTCTCTCTCTCTTTATCATGATGTACCAAGAGGATAGTTGAAATGATTGATGATGATTATTTTATTATTTTTGTTTTTTATTATTTTGGTTGTTTGTATTGGGAGGTTGTTAAAGTTACGGGTTGATTGTTAAGGTTACGAGTTGGTTGTTAAGGTTAAGGGTTTGTTGTTAAGGTTATGAATTCTCTCTCTCTCTCTTTCTTTTTTTTATTAAAATATGATGGGGATTATTTTATTATTTTTGTTTTCTCTCTCTCTTTATCATGATGTACCAAGAGGATAGTTGAAATGATTGATGAGGATTATTTTATTATTTTCGTTTTTTATTATTTTGGTTGTTTGTATTGGGAGGTTGTTAAAGTTACGGGTTGATTGTTAAGGTTACGGGTTGGTTGTTAAGGTTAAGGGTTTGTTGTTAAGGTTATGAATCCTCTCTCTCTCTCTTTCTTTTTTTATTAAAATATGATGGGGATTATTTTATTATTTTTGTTTTCTCTCTCTCTTTATCATGATGTACCAAGAGGATAGTTGAAATGATTGATGATGATTATTTTATTATTTTCGTTTTTTATTATTTTGGTTGTTTGTATTGGGAGGTTGTTAAAGTTACGGGTTGATTGTTAAGGTTACGGGTTGGTTGTTAAGGTTAAGGGTTTGTTGTTAAGGTTGTGAATCCTCTCTCTCTCTTTCTTTTTTTATTAAAATATGATGGGGATTATTTTATTATTTTTGTTTTCTCTCTCTCTCTTTATCATGATGTACCAAGAGGATAGTTGAAATGATTGATGAGGATTATTTTATTATTTTCGTTTTTTATTATTTTGGTTGTTTGTATTGGGAGGTTGTTAAAGTTACGGGTTGATTGTTAAGAAGAAAGAGAGAGAGAGAGAGAGGATTCATAACATTAACAACAAACCATTAACCTTAACAACCAACCCGTAACCTTAACAATCAACCCGTAACTTTAACAACCTCCCAATACAAACAACCAAAATAATAAAAAACAAAAATAATAAAATAATCCTCATCAACCATTTCAACTATCCTCTTGGTACATCATGATAAAGAGAGAGAGAAAACAAAAATAATAAAATAATCCCCATCATATTTTAATAAAAAAAGAAAGAGAGAGAGAGAGGATTCATAACCTTAACAACAAACCCTTAACCTTAACAACCAACCCGTAACCTTAACAATCAACCCGTAACTTTAACAACCTCCCAATACAAACAACCAAAATAATAAAAAACGAAAATAATAAAATAATCCTCATCAATCATTTCAACTATCCTCTTGGTACATCATGATAAAGAGAGAGAGAAAACAAAAATAATAAAATAATCCCCATCATATTTTAATAAAAAAAGAAAGAGAGAGAGAAGGGTATTATGGTCTTCACATGTTTTAATGTCTTGGGTTTTGTGTTTTGGGGGCTCAGAGAACAAAATCTTTATTTTTAGGGGTAAAACACCCATTGACCAAGTCTTGGGGGTGGGAAGCACGTTCACTTGGCTTTTGGGGGCTGGAAGCATTTTTCCCTATTTATTATTAGGTCCCCTGGTTAACACTGGTTATATTTAAAGAAATATCTTTTTAAATCTAACTATTATTACTAGTTTTCCTTGACTTTTAATTATAAAAGGTTAACCCGTTTGGACCTAGTTGATAAGTTCTGGTATGATAAGTTCTGGTATGATAAGTTAACCCGTTTCAAAATTAGTCCGATTGGCTATCTTCAATATTTCAAAATTACTCACTCAAATCATGGAAATTTCTATTACATCCCTCAAATCATCACAATATTTACTATTAGGTCCCATGGTTAACACCGGTTATATTTAAAGAAATATTCTTTTAAATCTAAATATTTAAAGAAATATTCTTTTAAAGAAATATTCTTGGTCATTAAATCTTCGTTCAATTTGAGACATAAGCTTAATGGAAAAGACAATTTAGAAGGGGAAATTAGTAAAATGATGCTTTGGGGGGGTATTTACAAATATATACAATGCTTGGGTATATATGTAAAAATTTCACAAAAAAAGAAAGTAGTGGCGATCCAAGAGTTCGAACACAGGACCTGTTATATCATATTCGCTCGAACTCAATTTTGACGGCTCTTTCTCCTCTTAACCTTATAAAAAACTTCAAGAGAACTCTATCCAAACAATTTTCATCCGGTTTTTAGTGATTAAATCTAATTTATCTCCTCTCATATTCATTAATGATGTTTACAGGCTCAAGTCCATCCGTAGATGAAGCCCAGAGTAGTGGAGTTCATCGAATCTACTAGCATAAAGAATAAAAATAAATAAATTTTAAAACTAACATAGAATTCCTAATTATTAGTTAACATTTTAACATAAGAATCTGATAACATATGTATCTTTCCATTGCAAATGTTTGTATTGGCGATGGATTTCAAATTCAAATTCAGGAAGCATATATCACTTCTCCCTGAAAGAAGGGACATGCCTCCAGCGACAAAGTCGCGGCTATAGCCTCCTCGACGACGACGTTAGAGGGGAGCAGGGGGCCCTTGAGAAGGCCACCAAACAACTGTCCTGGATCATAGTAGACTTCCACGTCCTCAGCTCTCAAGCTATCATCTACCTGTGGAGAACAAAATAGTATTGGACTACATTTAAAATATTATAGATTTGAGGGACTAATATTAAAATAATTCTTATTTTTTGTGGGGCCACTCATTAACAATGGGATAATCATTCACTAATGTTAATTTTTTACGATGGCGACAGACATTGGCGACATATTCGATTCGTCGCTAATAAGTATTGGCGACGTATTCAAATCCATCGCCAATAAGTATTGGCGACGGAACATTGACGACGGATCGAATTTGTCGCCAATACTTATTGGCGACGGATCGAATTTGTCACCAATGTGTATTGGCGATGGATTGAATCTGTCGCCAATAAGTATTGACGACGAAACATTGGTGACGGATCACATCCGTCGCTAATACTTATTGGCGACAGATTTGATCCGTCGCAATACTAATATGTATT